GAATCTTCTCATTTGCTCATCCCTTATCACTGGAAGGAAAATTAGGAAGTGGGTGCAATGTGAAACTTTGAATTTTGTCTCTTTCCAAATCTCTTCAATTAATGCAATATCTTGCAATACCTTTCAACCCTCAAACACAGGGGTGTGAGGAAAAAAGAGGGATGGATGGAGGAAGGGTGGGAAGGAGAGAGGGAAGGGGAGAGAGAATATCTATTGATAGTATAATGCATAATCTTTTTATTTATGTGCTCGCATGTAAAGAGTGCAGGAAAGCTAGAGCTGATAATTCTGTTTTAATGACAAGCAGAAGGAGGCTCAAACTAAGAATGATTACAGGATTTTTCCTAGCCTCCTATTCAATGAATTAGTGGAAAAAGGAATGACCAGATCCCTAAGGAAAATTGCATGGAGTGAGTAGATTAAGAAATTCAGTTAAAAGGCCAAATTTCAATCCACTAGTAATGCATTGAAAGAAGATAAGCTGGCCTGACAGTTATATGGGATCTATGTTTGGGGGGTAGGACACTGCTGAGCAACCAATGATGAGAATTTTAAAGCACAATACTGAATTACAGATGATGCAGTTCCCTGGAATAGAAGATCAGTGGTGAGTTTGGATGGATAGACATCACTGCAGTAAGCCATGTGACAACTGCTTCTGCTGCCATGCTTTGAAATCTTCCTGGCCTCCAGTGCCAATGTTTTCAGAAATACAGATGAGAGCCATGATCCTATACAGAATTGTAACTGGAAAAGTCTTGGTTAGGAATAATTACAAAGCACATATTTTCAATTTTATTTATATTTAATATGATTTTAGTAATATTTACAGGAGTTTAAGCATTACTTAGAACCCTCTATTTTAAAGGAATTACCAGAAACTATTGTATCAAATAATACCAGATTTAATAATTTACTAAAAGATATACGTTTTTCAGAAGTGAAAGAAATTACAGTGCATCCTAACGCTTTTATTTTGTTTTACAATATAAATCTGGTAAAAAAAAAAAAAAACACATTTAATTGATAAGGAAATCAAAAGTTAGGTATCTTATGATCCTAAATGTAGAAGTTAGCAAACCAAGTCTTTCTACAGCGATGTAAAGATATATTGCCCAGTGGGATAAAGGAAAAGACTGGAAGAATGTTTTCATAAATCAGGCATGTGTGAATGTACATTTTGTTTCATTTTTTTATTTTACTTTATTAGTTTTTTATTTTACATGTGAATGTACATTTTTGTGCTAACAATTTAAACCAGAGAAATCTTAACAGGATTGCCAGAGAGTACATATTCATAATAAAAATCCTATTACAAGAGTAGAAACTCATTTCATTGAACTTCTGGAGTATTATGTATAAAAGGGAACAGAAAAAGGAATTTGTGAAAGATATATCATTTGAATTGGATACATAATAGACTTATTCCATTTAAGGCAAAGAACAAAATATTATTAGTCTCTATGAATACTCACATTTGAATAAATATTAGAATTGTAGCAAGGGAAATGAAAAGAGATGCAGAATTATTGTAAAATTGAAATCACTAATGCTACTTTAATTAGTATGTAGAAAAATAATATGCACAACAATATAAACAAAATATAGGCAAAAATAGTAATATGACTATCTTTATAAATAATATATAATACTCAAATTGTTTCCCAGCTACAAATAACATTAGTATCAGCAGACATAATTTGAAACATCTTTGAAATACAAATAAAACCATCTTAACAGACACAAAACATATGTAATATTTTATATTTGTATTCAGAAATTTATATTTTATTGAGAAATACTAAGTAATAATTATGAATATTCAGTAGAGAGGAAGTTCATTATATTTATAATTAGTTGTATATCTTTAATGTCAATTGAACTTTGTTATTTCTTATTCTTATTTTTGTAGAATATCAGTTTACTTTAAAAGCATATTTTTAAAGCAAAGTTTCTTTATGTCCTTTGACATATACACTTCCTAAATGCAAAAGTGATTGGAAGAGAACAGTACTGAAGCACAGATGGATACAGAAGCACAGAAAGGGCAGAATGGAATGAATTGTTCTCATGCTTTCAAATAAAATTAGGTTTAAATTGCAGTTGCTGAATGGAAAAAGTTATTTAATAAATGTAAAAATGAATAGAAAAGCATGCTAGACTAAAACAAAGGCAAAAAGAAGATGACATGAAAAGGAAAAATATAAGAATTCCTTTCTTACCACAATATAGAATATGTACACATTTTATTTATCTAGAGACTTACAATTCTGAATATATTATAATTTATTTCATTTTCATTGAAATTCAAATATCAGTGGATATTTGAGTAAAAATATTCATAAAAGATTTCTGCAAAATGCAGACTAAATGATTAAAATCAGAACAAGTTACAAAATTTTAACAAGAATTAAAGGAATAGAGAGTAATTGAAATTTTTCTTTTCAAGGAATAAAAAAATAAAGAAGCAAAATATTAGAATGGACTAAGTGGAGTACATTTGTTTGATGTCTTTCTCAAGTTAATTTCATTGTCTTGTAGTGCCGCATATTATTATACTCTCCAAGTAAACACTGCTAGTAATAGTAGAAAGCACATAAAAAAGCATCTCTTTAACAACATGAATCTACCAGCCCAAGTGCCTCTTGAAATAGATTTGAAGAGCAAATTCATGTAATTTGAACTTCACATGTCTGTAAAAATAAAAAGAGTTGTCTAGAGTAACAACATTGTTGAAAGTCGTACTAGTGCGTGAGGACATAGTGCAGAATGCTGACTAATTTAAATATGGCACCCCAGTACTCAGATGAGCCAACCTGTGTGAGCAAGGGAGAAGTGTTATAGGGGAAAAGACCAGAAGCATACACAAGTTGCCATGGGTGTTCTGCTAAAGAGGGAGATTGGTACAAAGTCATTTATTACATGTGCATACTGCAGGGATATGAAGGGTGAAAGAATGAAATAAAATATTTGAAACATATACATCAGAGAATAAATACACACAATAACCCAAATAAATGAACGAAATGTCCATGTTAAATATCTATGAATTTATTACCAGATGTTAAGTCCAGTTAACTTTTATGCCGTTTCTAATATAATTATTTACTGTTTGTATACCTTTGAAAAATATCTTGAAAGGAATTTAATTCAAATGTAAAATATCACTCATGATATATAATTTTTTGTCATACAATATTAACACTCAACTGAAAAGATTATCAAGGTTTTGATAATACCATTCATGGAAATATCACATGTCACCAAGATTCTTATGGGAATAATGAACTTTGTTCTAAACAAGATTAGATTACACTCACATACAAAATCAGCTATTGTTTAAACTCTTGGAAGCCATGTTGTAATCAAATGTACTTACCATTGAAGGGTTTCAAGGAACTGAACACTCTGGGAGATGTTAAGAGCAATAAAGTAATTGTAGCAGAACAAGGTACTCTAAAACAGCCTTCACCCACATGCAAACCTGACTCAGATAGTAACTAGAATAATAATTTTTATAATAGTGAAAAAAACAAGTTTTGAAGATTTATGTTACTAGGGACTTAACTTAGTACCGCATACATGCCAAGGAAATATTTTTTCCACTTAGCTGCTTCTCCAGCCCATAATAATGAAATAACAGACACAGTTTAAAGGGTCACAAAAGCAAATTCTTTAATGTTGGAATCCATTCATTCATGTGACAACTACCACAGAGCATGCTTCATAGGTAACCCATAAAGACTTTCATAAACAACTAAATCTGTGAAGATACTTATACATCTGCAGGTAGTGAGAATACAGAAAGATCTTTCAGTAATGTAAAAGATTTTTAAAATATGCATATAGTATGTTCTCACTGATGCTTACAGTGAGCACAGTAGCCATGAAGATATGGCTCAGTGATTTAAGAGAACCTGCTCCTCTACTGAGGGACCAGACTTTGGTTCCCAGCATCCACATCACACTGTTAACATTGTTTCTAACTGTAAGCCAAGCTATTCTAACCTCCATTGCCATTCACATATGTAGGCGCTGCTCCCCCTTTCTCTCTCACCCTCTCTTCCTCCCTCTCTTTTTTCCTCCTCCTCATTTTCTCAAGTGAGAAATTTTCCCAGTAAAATTCTAAAGTAAATAAAATATAGAATATTCACAATGAAGCTTTGTAGATGGCTATTTGTATATGAATATCCAGTGTAGAGGAAAATCACTTTGATGCTTCTATACCATATTGTTATTACCCTGATGTGTGGGACAAAGAGGAGGAGGCACACCAGCTTCTGCTCTGCTTTCATATTTTATTTGCTGAAAAATAGCATGTAGGACTTCATAACTGGAAACATTAGCTGTCTTTGTGACTTTACACAGGTAGGTTGTGTTAATGAGTTCACTGCATGCAGTGATAACAAGAACAGTGGGCATTTAACACAGCTGACCCAGCAATTAAGTCTGAACAATCCTGGGGAGTAAATCTGAACCAGGTCAGAGACAAGGGGAATGAGGTTTACCTTCTGTACTGGCAGATTGAAAGTCATGAGAAAATTCGGAAAGCTAAAATCCTAACTGAAGGCTGAACAATGTCTCCCAGTATTGGAGAAAGTAAAGTGTTGAACATATTATATTGACTGACATGATAATCATTTATAAATATTTTTTAAAAAGAAAATGCCTGACTGACAAAAAGTTACTAAAGAAATTATATTACATTTGCTAGTCTGGATTTTGTATGTTATAATTTATATTTTTAATTTGGCTGTTTACAAAAATAAGTTGTACTCTATAGAACATGGATATTATAACTTAAACAAATTTAAAGGACAGAACCTGTAATAAGTATTCACAAATATTATTTGAATGATATGTAAGATAGCAATTAAATATTTAAAATTTTCAAAAGGTAAAAATATGATTTACTCGAAAAAAAAAAAGCTAGTAATCAACAAACCACGAGATGTTCTCCTGAAATATAAATCATGTGCCATAAAATACTTATTTTTCAGGTTACACTTTTTCCGGGATGTCCCTGACTTCAGAGTGTTAGCATGCGGTGGAGATGGGACTGTGGGCTGGATTTTGGATTGCATAGGTAATGAAGACCTGTGTTTGATGTGGCTTGGGTGAGCCTAGAACCCATATCTTCTCTTGTCTTCTGTCATCTGTCAATCTTTCAGTGTACCAAATATCTAGATAGGTGAATTCTGTAACCTTTTGCATTTTTTTTTCAGATGTGCCCCTTGTTAGAACATATTAATAGTATAAAACTTGGTATTTAGAAGCTTATATATTTTAAACAAACATTTTCTATAATTTATTTTAGTCTCTGAGTTGAGTAATTTTTATTAGATACACAGGTCCTTTCCAAATAAATATTAATTAAAACAAATTATGTTCTCTCTATAAAATACACACTTTTTTTGCTTTTAAAGAAGTGAAAATTAGAACATTCTGTCTTGTTATTCCCTGAAAAACATTTCAAATTGAAAATGTCATGATGGGCGTGGCAGTCATTAGTTCCAGCCTGGAAGCCCCCCTCCTGTTCTCCAGTTTGCAGTTACTCAAAGAAAGTACATGTTGTCATCAACACTTTTCTTATAAATCTAACATTTTAATCTACTAATATTGCATGAAAATAGTCAGTGAAGATTCTGGTATTGGCATTCTAATAAATGACAGAAAATATTAATAAATTACTCCTATGGGATAAAAACTAAAATTCAAGAATTATAAAATTACTCAGCAAATATATGAGTAATTTTAAAATGAAAACCATAGGAAATCTTGGCTCATTGTGTCCCCCAAATTCAGTGGTGTTGTACTTTGTTTATCCATGTCACTCATCAAGTGATTCATGCACATACTGCATGCTGACTTTATGTACTTAGGAATGAAAAGGAAAGAAAATATGTATTTTTGGGATTCTCTCAAGGTGTGGGATGATTCAAAGGAAAGTACATGGAATTGTGGTGATAGTTCTATACCACTTGAAACCTAAAATACTAAGAGATACAAAGGTAAAGCTGTTGTAGCCTCTATTATTTGGGCTTTAGTTGGTGCAGCAGTCTTGTCTGGTTAGTACTTGAGAGAGGGGAGTGTGGACTGAGAAAAGGATTAGACAGGAGACCAGAGTTATAGAAGGGAGGGAATCCAGTGAATACTGAACCACTCATGTTTATTGTTGACAGGTTTTTGTACCCCCATCAAAAAGTGGGAAAAGGGGAAAGAAATTTTTTTTTTACCAATATATAAAGAACAAGAAAACATAATTACCTTAATAACACAAACATCAAGTAATTATCTCTTGAGTTATGTACTTTACTGTTTAGGCAGAACATGTAGCTAGCACACCAAGTAACTATATATTCAGTTGATTACTATTATCCTGATTCCTGATCCTTCTCTACAATTATCTATAATTGTTATTTATGAATGTTTTACTACCTAGATAAACCCACTGCCTTTCACTTCACTTATATCATCCTAGCACTCATTTTTTTTTTCATCTTTTTCCATCTGCCATGTCCATCACTTCTGTCTGCCATGACCAGGCTCACTTTGCGGTACCATCTGTTGTAGCCCATGTGTTTGGGGGGCTTTTGCCTAATCCTGTCAGCTAGGCCAGTCCCTACCTGAGAGGGGCAGTGTAAATTATGGAATGGAATAGGTAGGAGATGGAGATAGAGTCCGGAGGGCATCCAATGAATACTGTGCTGGCTACATGTCCTGCCTAAACAACAAATACTTAACTCAGTAAATAGCTACTTGATGCTTTGAATATTGACAAGGTAGTTATGCTTGCTTGTTCTTCATATCTTTGTAAGAAAGTCTTTTGCCTTCTCCTGCTTTTCTGATGGGGGTTTAAAAAGGCTATGCACAGTAAACATGGAAATTCAGTATTCACAGGATGCCCTCCCAAATCTACCTTTGTTTTTTGCCTACTACTTTCCTCAATCCATACCACTGTGTCAGGTGTGAGCCAAACTAGCTGGTGGGAATTGACAAAGTCCCCACAAACACAGGCTATGATGTAAAGCTAAATAAATAATACACAAATAAACCTGATGTTGTAAGGTAATCCAACAGTAAGGACTGTTCATTTGCTTTGAAATTTTGCAATGCTATGGATAGGAACATTTTATCAGAATTACTTAGTATTTATTTTTAAAATTCTACTGTTCTCTAAGAAAATAGAGATTTTGCAAAAGAAACATATATAGGACCCTACCTATATTCCCTGATGGCAAATATTCCTATGCTTCATGTTACCTGCTTTCTTACGTGTTTTAGTCAAGATAAAAGAGAAGAAAACATACACACACACAACAAAATTTTGAGTATTGTCAAGATATTTAAAAGGTTTTCTGCATACATGGATATTCATGAAAAATCTGTTACTTTTTGAAGAATTATATATATATATATATGTATATATGTATATATATATACATACATATATACATATATATGTATATATATATACATATATATATATATATATATATATATCCAGTTACCAGGATTGCATTAAAACATTGCCATTTATAATAGTATTTATAAATTTCAACTTGTTGCTATTTACATGTTCTTTGTAGAATTATTCATTCAATGTAAGTTTGTTTGATACTATTGGCCAACTTGGTTTAACATTTTTATTATCATTGTCCTATTACACAGAAAAGGCCAATGTAGTCAAGCACCCTCCAGTTGCTATTCTGCCTCTTGGGACTGGCAATGACCTAGCAAGATGCCTGCGATGGGGTGGAGGTAAGACAGCTGCAATAGAATTTATCAAAAAGTAAGAGAATGCACTTACTGCATACTGGCTACCATGTGGTTATAGTAAATGTAAGAGGTGTTCTCACTTACTACTAAAGCATTTTAAACAATAATCAAGAGTTGGGAGGGACAAAATGGGTTAACAATTTAGATTGGATGATGGGCTTTAATTTAATATCAATTGCAGATTTGAGTTTTCATAGGACAACTTTTCAAGCTTAGAAAGTAAGATACATATGAACAACTCTAAGCCAATATTCAGACTTTTAATTTGCCATTATTATCTTCTAGTGTAGGAAATCGAGGTTATTACATTATAAAGTGGAGCATGCCCAAGGAGTACGAGTGCGCAATGGGAAAAGATCATTTTCTAGACTGACTTTATTAATAATATGATAAGTAAATTGGAAAAAATAAAAACACTAATGTGTGACTTTCATAGGAGTGAATATACTAAGCACTGTTATTTGAGATTTACATTATCATGACCACTGGATTTTATTCTTGGTGTGTAAGAGTGAGAAGAGGAAGAAATAATAATGTAAATTCTATATTTACATGAAGTCATACATAACTCTTAAGACTTTGTAATAACAAGGGAATTGATTCCAGTAAAGGAAAGCACTCCCAGTTACATGGAGGGCAACACTAATAGGATGATAGTGACAAAGTCACATATAACTGAGTGTGCACTCAGAAGCAGAGGGGAAAAGTTGCATGTTGGAGGACTCAGAAGAGGCTTTTTCACTTATAGAACTGACTATGGGATGGTGTATGGAGCAGAGTGCAAATGGAGACATTTTTATTTTCAGGGGGAGTCTAAAATATCTCAATGAGTTGCTGTAGTTACTTACAGATTACTGGGCAACCCCTGATAATGCCAAAGAAGCCATAATTAAATTGTAAATAATTTATTTATATATTTTTACATATATTACATCCTGAACAAATTCCCCCACTTCCACTCCTCACAATCCCTCCTTCCTTCTCCTTCCCCTAGATCTACTCCTTATTTTCTCTTAAAAAAAAGCAGCAAGCCACTAATTGAATATGGCATAAAACATTACAATAAGCTAAAGTTAAAAGGCCCATATAAATATTGAAGAGGCAACCCAGTATGAGGAAAAGGGCCCGAGCATACAAAAAAGCATCAGAGAAAACCCCATTCCCACTTGTCAGGGTCCCAAAAGAGCACCAAAGTGTACAACCATAGCATCTATGCAGAGGACCTAGCAAAGAAACATAAAGGGTCTGTGATGTCATTCCAGTCTCTGTGAACCCCAATAAGCTCTGCTTAATTGATTCTGTGGGTCATGTTCTCATTATGCCCTAGACACCTCTTGTTCCTAGAAAACTTCCTCCTCCTCTTCTAAAGTTTCCTTTAGCTTTGCTTAGTATTTGGCTGTGGGTCACCCCGTCAGTTGCTGAACAATTCCTTTCTGATGACAACTGGGCTGTGCATTGTTGTATGAGTATAGCAGAATATCATTAGGAAGCATATCACTGACTTTCTAATTGTACTTGCTTCTATCCTGGGTCTCTGGGCTACCCAGTCTGTGGTTCCTGGCCATTCACAAAGTCTCAGGTGTGGGCTCCCTCTCTCTAATCCCCATTAATAGGAGTCTTCACTAGAATAACTCTCAGATTCTAGGGAGTTTTCACTGCAACAGGTTACATTATTCCTCAAGTGCCCCCCCCCCCTCATTCTAGTTGTCTCTCTGGGTACTCTCTCCATCCATCCAAACACTGTCCAGAATGAACCCTTTTTGTTCCCATCCCCACCAACCCCAAGTCTGCCCATGAAATTTATTCTAATCCCCTTTCCCATGGAGATCCATGTGCCATCACCCCTCCTCCTTGAGCGCTCCTTGTTGCTTATCCTCTCTTTGACTGTGGATTATAGCACAATTATCCTTTACGTAATAGCTAATACCCACTTATAAGTGAATACATACCATGTGTGTTTTCCTATGTCTGGGTTACCTCACTCATGATTTTTTTCTAACTCTATCCATTTGCCTGCTAAATCATGTCATTGTTTTTAACAGTGTAATAATATCCCATTTTGTAAATGTACCACATTTTCTTTATCCATTATTCCATTAATGGGCATATTGCTTATTTCTGATTTCTGCCTGTTAGGAATATAGCTGCTATGAACATAGTTGACAGTTTGTCCTTGTGATAGGTTGTAGTGTCCTTTAGGTATATGCCCAAGACTTGTATAGCAGGGTCTTTGTTAAACCAATTTCCAATTTTCTATACAACCACTATATTTATATCAAGTTTCTGTTCAATTTTTACTCCAGGGAATGAAAATGAGGAGTGTTCTCCAGGCTGCTCCATATCCTTTCTAGCATGAGCTTTCACTTGTGTATTTGATCTTAGCCATTCAGACAGGTATAAGATGAAATCTAAAGTTGTTTTGATTTGCAATTCCCCAATAGCTAAGGATGTTGAATGTCTCATTAAGTATTTCTCAGCCATTTATGATTTCTCAGTTGAGAATTCTCTGTTTAGATCTGTACCCCATTTTTAATTGGATAAATTTTTACTGATATCAAGTTTCTTTATGTATATAGTTTGGATATTAGCCCTCTGTTGGATGTGGAGCTGGTGAAATCTTTTACTATTCTGTTTTGTCCTATTGATGGTGTCCTTTGCCTAGAGAAACTTTTCAGTTTCATGAGGTACCTTTTATTGATTACTGTTCTTAGTGCCTATGCTATTAATGTTCTGTTAAGGAAACTGTCCCCTCTGCTTATATATTCAAGGCTATTTCTCACTTTCTCTTCTACTAGGTTCAGTGGGTCTACTTTTGTGTTGAGGTATTTGAACTCCTTAGACTTGAGTTTTCTGTATGGTGATAGATATGGATCTATTTACACTTTTATAAATGCTGAATTTCAGTTATACAAGTACCATTTGTTGATGGTGCTTTATTTTATCCAGTTTGTATTTCTGACACACACACACACACACACACACACACACACACACACACACACACACACAAAAGAAACAGGTGTCCATAGGTGTTGGATTTATGTCTGAGACTTCAATTAATATACATTGACCAACTTGTCTGTTTTTATGCCAACATCATGTGATTTTTATTACTATACCTCTATAGAATAGCTGAAAATCATGGATGGTGTTACTTCTGGATGCTCTTTTTTTTGTAGAGGATATTTTAGTTATCCTGTTTTTATTTACTTATTTATTTATTTTTATTTTTTCATATGAAGCTGAGAATTGTCCTTTCAAATTCTTTAAAGAATTGTGTTGGATTTTTTCAGGGGATTTCACTGAATCTGTAGATTGTTTTAAATAGGATGGCCATTTTTACTATGTTAATCATACTGGTCCATGGGAATGGGGTATCTTTCCATCTTCTAATATCATCTTCCACTTTTTCCTTCAATAACTTGAAGTTTTTGTCATACAAGTCTTTCTTGTTAGAGTTACCCAAGATATTTTTTACTGTTTGTGGCTATTGTGAAGTGTATTGTTTCCTTGATTTCTTTCTCAGTTCTCTTGTCATTTACTTACAGGAGAGTTACTGATTTATTTTAGTTAATCTTGTATTTATCTACTTCAGTAAAGGTGTTTATTAGCTGTGGGAGTTCCTAGGGAAGAACTTTTTGGGGTCTATTATGGAAACCTCAATATAATCTGCAAATAATGTTATTTTGACTTCTTCCATTACAATTTATATTCTCTGGAGCTCCTTTAGTTGTCTTATTACTCCAGAAAGAACTTCAATTACTATATTGATTAGTAGTGAAAGTGGACAGCCTTGTTTAGATCCTGATTTTACTGAAATTGCTTTAAATTTCTCTACATTTAATTTTATATTGGCTATTGGCTTACTGCAAATTGCCTTTCTTGTGTTTATGTGTCATTTTTTTATCACTGATCTGCCAAAACTTTTATTATGAAGGGATATGGAATTCTGTCAAAGGCTTTTCCAGCATCTACTGGGATGATCATGTGATTTTTATTTCAGTCTGGTGGATTACACTGATATATTTTTAGATGTTGAACCTCCCTGCATCTTTGGGATAAAGACTGATTGATTGTGATATATAATCTTTTCATATGTTATTGAATTTGGTTTGCAATTATTTTGTTGAGTATTTTTCCATCCATGCCCATGGGAAAAATTGGTCTGTAATTCTCTGTGTTTGTTAAATCTTTTGTGTGATTTGGATTTTATGGTTACTGTGGTTCATTAAATGAATTTGGCAATGTTCCTTCTGTCTCTATTGTGTGGAATAACTTTAGGAGTATTGGTATTAGCTCTCCTTTGAAAGTCTGGTAGAATTCTACAATGAAACCATATTGTCCTGGGCTTTTTTCAGTTGGGGGATTTTTAATGATTGCTTCTATTTTCTTTGGGGTTATTTGACTATTTAAACTATTTGATAGTGATTTAACATTGGCAATATAATTTATCAATAGAACCATCCATTTCTTATAGATTTCCCAATTTTTTGGAATGTGGATTTTTAGAGTATGACCTAATGATTCTTTGGATCCTTTTCATTTCTAATTTTGTCCTTGTCTTTCTCTGCCTTATACTTATTTTGGGTAAGGCTTTGTCTCTTGTTGATTTTCTCTAGAAACAATTATTTTTCTTTTATTTTGGGGTTGTTCTTTTCTATTGTATTTCATTGATTTCACCCTTCAGTATGGTTATTTCCTGGCATCTACTACTCTTGGGTGTACTAGAGCTTTAAGGTGCATTGTTAAGTTGCTAGTATAAAATCTCTTCAATTTCTTTATGTAGGCACTTAGTACAATCAATTTTTCTATTAGCACTGCTTTAATTGTGGTATATAAGATTAGGTGGCTATGTTGTATACTCATTTTCACTTACTTCTAGAATATCTTTAATTCTTTTATTTATTTTTGCCTCTTCCCAGTAATCATTCAGTAGAACTGTTCAGTTTCTGTGAGTTTGTAGGCTTTCTGTTGTAACTGTT